AGTGGTGAGAAATTTTGCTTCAATCTAATATAGTTTGTAAAGTTAGATATTAGGAAATGTCGTGTCTTTATTTTTCTTGTAGCCATTTCTGACTTTTGTGTCTCATTACTTGTACTCACTTAATCTCTCTTTGTAGTTAAAACAACAAAACAAGTTTATTCTCTAATTCAGTTTGCTTAAATGAAGGTGTCTGGATAATTCTGTTTAGAATAACAAGCTAGTATTTATTATTCCCTTAATATATTTGAACTATCCAGGAGATGGCTGGGCAGTGCAAAACAGCACATTTCTTGGGAAAGTCCCAGGGTCACCTTGCAGTATAACCCAGGATGGTGAGAGCCAGGGTGCGGCTGGCAGGCTGCAGTTACACAAACTGCATGCTGGTGACTGGCTGTGAACAGTCCAGGTTGGAGGCTACAATAGCAACGCATTTCAAGACACCCCAGGTTACAGGGCAGGGGTGACACAGCCCCCCCTACTGGTCTGGATTGCACTCTGGGTTGTCATACCAGTGTCAGGTATTAACAGGTATCAGTGCTGAATTAATGGGGTTCTATTTTAATTTACACATTTATTAACTTGTTTCTGCCAAATAAGTTGTTGAGAAACAAGCATTTTTTAAAATGCAAATAATATGCTCTTTATTTTGCTGCTGGGTGGTGATGTTTGGTAAACAGCCTGATTGTTAGGCTTTGGCCTTGGGGAACTTGCAGCTGCTCCATCCCCGATCCCTCTAGACACTTGTGCAAAGTGGGGATTGCTGAAGGGGGAAGATAAACAAACAAGAAAATGGTGTACTTATTGTCTCTGCTTGTAACCTCTTTGAATGCAGTAGTTATTTGTAAGGACAGATCCCAGTTTTGGACTATGCATTTTACAGACTCTGTATTGTTTTAAACAGATTCACAGGTCAGCAAGCTGGGTATTAACTATCAGGACTGCATACATTTTAATGTGTAAATAGGAAGGGGTGATGGTTTTAATCTTTTTTCCAATGGTACCCAGGGTGGTAATGACGTTTTTTAAAATCCCTGTGAAAACAGATTGTATATGGCACAATTAATGTTTCAGCACTCCCAGTATCTTCTTTGAAATATTTTAATGTTTTAATTTATTGTACTTCTCGCTTAATACTGAGAATGGTGGGATGTATTCACAGCTTAATTGGTGGAAAGATGACTTAATTTACTGTAAATTACCTACTGTAATTTAAAACTTATTTTAAAAAAATTGTGTACACATAAAATTTTATTTATTTGGAGGGGTACATTGAAAATTGGTATACAAAATTGTGTGTGTGTGCGTGCATAGTGTGGCTGAGAGAAAAATCTCAAAAATCTTGGATAAAATAGTCTAATGTGATTTCATTGCAGTTGATACACTTTAAAGGGCAATGGAGCATAAAAAGGATTAAAGTCCCACCTTTAATCAGGATGTAGAAACTTAAAAAAGCCTGAAACTATATTTGATGTTGAGCAAAAGCTGATTTTAGTGAAAATCCAGCTAGGGTGGGGAGATAGGATTGCTTGTGCCCCAGCAGCTGCCCCTGGAACATAATGAGAAGAGTCTTTCCCTCAGGAGCAATATCCTGGAAAGCAGATGATGTGGTGGCTTTGCCACATATTCCAGATAGGAGGTAGGCATATACTGGTGGTGATATTTTGATCACTCTACTGTGCTAACCACAGTTCCCCAGTTGTCTGTTTCTCTCACAAACACCGTCCCAGGCTGCGCCACAAGCATGGGGGTGAGGAGGGGATCTCCCTGCTTATCAGCCTCTTCCTTCTTCATATCCTTCCTTAAAGCTCTGCTCCGCTGTGATGCGCACGGAATAGTGACTTCTGCTAACAGCTGGGCAGGTAGCTTGTTGCGATTTACTGTGATTGCTGCTACTGATTGGCTTATAACATCTATGAATGGTGCACACGTTCCAGAATATTCTGTGTGAAATCCTGGCCTCAATGACATCAGTGACAAAACCTCCCATTGACTTCAGTGGGGGCAAGGATTACTGTTATGTCTTGTCCTTTTCAGAAGGCAAGCTCTTTGAGCAGAGACTGTTTACTACGGGTGGGGTTTTCAAATGTCTGCTTCATATGTTTGTGCAATGCCTGGTGTTGAATGGTGTCAACCTGATTGAGTCCTCTTGGAGTTACCACAATGAAAATAATTAATGAGTATGCATACCTCCAGGGTTCTGGCCTGACTCCCAGCTTAATGTATGTGGGGGGGACCTTCTGAAATTACTTGCATTTTCTTCCACAGCCCCAGCAAGAGCTTAATCTCTCTTGGAACTTAAATAGTAACATTTTCAAAATGTCTTTAAAAATAAATTTTAAGCCTCTAAAGTTAGTTTTTGTTGGGTTCAAGGTTGTGGACGATGTGCACAATAACCTGAGGATCTTGGCCTGTGCACCATTTGACCAGTCTATCTTCACTGCTGCGCCAACTAAATTCAGGCCAAGCAGTTCTGTTGTGTTCTCTTCTATCTAGATCCCCATGCTCCTAAGGGAAATAAAAATAATCTATATGAAACCAGCAACTGTCCCAGATTTCAGGTCATAGGTGGCAAATATGAGACCTCTTGGATTCTGTCTCTAGACATGGGCTCTGCAGTAGAGAGATGATCTGGTGTTAGGGCACTAGCCTAGAACTTGGGAGACATGAGTTCAAGTCCCTGATCCACACCAGGCTTCTTGCGACATTGAGCAGGTTACTTAGGCTCTCTGTGCCTTAGTTCCCTGTCTGTATAGTGGGGATAATAGAACTTTCCTGCTTCAGAGGTGTTGGGGGGGGGGAGGGGAGGGAGATAAAATACACTGAAGGTTGTGAGGTTCTCAACTATTATGGTAACAGGAGCCTGAGAGATCCTGCACAAACACAGTGCATGTAGGCTCTAGCGCAGCTACAGACCCATCAGTGTATCCAACAGGCTCCATAATAAACCTAGCTTTCCTAGGCATTTCTGAAATACTTCCTTAAGGAATCTTGAAAACGTGTATAAAAATATAGCTTGATCGAAGATTAAGGTCACTTTTGGCCTGTAGGTATTGCAGAGTATTTCTGAGTGTCTGAAACCTAGGTCCTGTTTAGTGTAAATGGTGACGAACAAACTTTTGGGTCTACTCATGTTTTCTAGAGCCATCTAGTAATAGGAACCTTTCTGGACAATGTAACACGTTTTCTGCTTCCATGCATTTTATATGAGAAATGGAAGCTCTAATACTTTTTGCAGCAGGGAAAAGAGAAATCCCTTTGGTTAGAGAAGTCCCCCCTTTTTTTTTTTTTTGGGTCCCATTATGTTCCATTCAGGTATTGCTGATATAAAAACTCTCAGATGTGCCTTAGGAAAACTTGATTTGGAATGTAGTTGTAGCCTTGTTGGTCCCAAGATATTAGAGAGACAAAGAGGTTGAGGTAATGTGTTTTTTATTGGGCCGACTTCTGTTGGCGAAAGAAACAAGCTTTCGAACTTACACAGAGCTCTTCTTCAAGTTTGAGAGAGGAAAAACTTGGCAGCCTGCCAAAATAAACACATGAATATTTGAAAGCTGGGGTCATGCTGCTGCCCAAGCAACATCCGATATGGCCCAGGGAATGCCTGGGAGCCTCCAGAGCAGCTGGAGTGCAGGGGTCAGAGGTAGAAATGGATGACGATAGCTATGACAGGTGGGCATCTCTCTTTTGAGGTACTACATGCACCACGTAAGGCAGAATTCTCTCCCCTAGTCCATTCAGTCCCTCACACCCCCTTCCTCTGGCTGGCAGATCAGTTCTGCTCTGCCTGATGTCACTCACCTAGTCTTACCAGTTGGGCCGTAAAGCTGACATTCTCACTTGCCCAGGCCCTGATTCAGGAAAAATAATAATAATAGACTCATGCATTCCAAGGCCAGAAGGGGTCAGTGTGGCCATCTGGTCTCACCTGTATAACACAAGCCATAGAATGTCCCCCAAATAATTCCTAGAGAAGATCTTTTTTAGAAAAAGTCCAGCCTTGATTTAAAAATTGCCAGTGATGGAGACTCTGCCGCAACCTGTGGTAAATTTGTTCCAAAGATTAATTACCCTCACTGTTAACAATTTGCACCTTATTTCCACGTAGTATATAGGCGGGTGCTTAAGTCCCATTGAAGCCAATGGGATTTAAGCATGTGATTAATTGCTGTCCTGAATTAATCACATGCATGAGACCCAAATAATGCTTCTCTTTGGACCATGGTCCAGGACAGTAGGATTTTCCCCCTCCTGGACAAGACACTTTGTTAATGAAGAAGATACAAAGTGATTTCAAAGTAACTCTATTAGTAAAATGGCTTTAGTAAAATGGCTGTTTAGTTAGTGTGTACAGTAAACAGCATCCTTAGAGCCAAGCTTAAACTCAAATATGTTACTGTTAGCCGGGGAAAAAATCAAATTTGTATTTTCTTAACTGCTGAAGTATCCTGTGTGCAAGTTTTACCTCTCCTCTTCTTCTCCACTCCCCCCAGCATCAAATACTTTTTACATGTTTTTCCTTAGAAGAAAGATTATTGCTAAAGAGATTTTGTTTTGTTAAGGTTTTGTCAGGATGAAATGAGCAAAGGGAGGATAAATATCTGACAAACTCAGTGACCCTGTTTCATTTTGATAATGAAGTAGGTTAAAATCCCTGAAACGGTACTGTGTTTTCGAACAGAGTATCTGCTAGGGTGTTGACTAATTTTGGTATTGAAAATGAACATAAACTTATAAATCAGCAGAGGAAATTAGATACTTGAAATAATAGCACCTTTTAAAAAATGCTGCCTTCCTGCCTTAAAAGTTTCAATTTTATTTATAGCGAAAAAAGATCTTTATATGACACAATAACATTTGATTTATTGCAAGAATATTTTAATAGGGGGCTTTCCCCACCTCCAGCATTTATACTTTCCTTTTTGTTTTCAAGTTCAGAGAAGTGGTGGGCTTGGGCTTAGTTCTAGCTAAGTGAAGCTTTAAAACATGTTTTTGTCTTTCAGTCAATCTCCTGAGAACCACTTTCTGAGTGATTCCAGCTTCCGAACATGTTTCCCATGGTAGGGGTTTTGATCCCTTGCCAGATTTGCCCTGAGCCATGAGTGAATATGTGTGATACCCACAAGTAAAACTGGTGAGTCAACTAACCCAAGTCTGTAGTAATTTTTTTTTCCCCTTGTTACTTGGTATGCTTTTGTTTTTTAGTATTGTTTTGTGCTTAAAAATATGTCAATAGTTTTCTGCTGTATAATATATAAGAATCTGATTAAATAATAGAAAAAAATCCCAAAGCTTACATGAAAATGCAAGCTGTTGTAGATTTTTGGTGATGGGGTTGGTATAAACAGGTAATGTGAAAAACTGAAACTGTGTTGATAGGCATGGTCTAAGCATGGCTTTGCAGGCACTGAACGTCACAATTAAATATGGATATATAGAGGCCTTTTTTCCATGGCATAATTATTGCTTTGCTTCCAAAGGAGCCAAAACCAGAAAACAATTAGCTATCACTGTTTTGCCTCGCTTATATCCCAGTGACAAAATGGTGTCACTGGTACACAAGAGAGCTGTCTTATCACATACTCCTGCCTTGTTAGCTTGGCATCCCGCAGCACAAAGTTTTCCATTGTTCAAGGTGAAATCCTAGATACCAAGCTTGGCTTCTCCATCGACATGCACGATCCAGCCTGGACAAGTGGTGGGTGGGTTGGGGTGAGGGGGTGTGTGTGCCTGTTCCTCTATTAATGTAATGTTGCCATTTGCCCCTGTTACTGTCCATATGCAGTCCCCCTTGTGACCCCTTACGTGTAGCTGTCTAGTAATCTGGTTAGGCCCCTTTTGGGACTGGGCTATCAGTTCAGCTCTCATGAACTGGCTGGATGGTTGGTGCAGAAAGAATGTCGGAGCTACTCTGAATTCCTCCCCGCAGCTCCACCAGCCTGGAGAACAGGGTTCCAAAGTCACTGACAAACTGAGATCACTCACATGGCATGTCCCGCCTTTTGCTTATGAACTGGGCGGGATGGGGACAAAAACAAGTCAGGAAAACAGGAATCATTTTATTTGCAAGAAAATTAAAGGATACGAATAAGGAGGCTTTTAAAAGCAGGAAATATGAATAATTAAATTGCATTGGAGATGGGGATATAAATTGTTTCTTGAAAATAAACTTGGGTTTCTGGCACATGTTTAATATCCCTCTGTATATTAGGAAACCCATTTCCATTCAAAGATTATGAAAACACAGAAATTCACACATCAGTGAATTGTGAATTTTTTTAAAAGGTTCTGTGCTTTTTTCTTTTTTTCCAGAGGTAGCATAATTACCATGTCATTTAGCAAAGATTATAATAACTGCTCAATTTTTACCGACTGGTGTAGTAAACAGTTGAATAAACCCATATGGCAATTGAAAGTGTGTGTGTGTGTGTGTGAGAGAGAGAGAGAGTGAGAGAGAGATTTCTACCAGTTCCTTCATATATGAATTACCAACCTTGCTAATGTGACCAAGATCCTAAAATGGGGAGCAATTCCAGATTTCTCCAGTGATGTCTAGCTGGGCAAGAAACTCCTCCGTGCTCCATAGCAAACTGGTCTATTGACTTCAGTGATGATGCTAGCTAATTAATTTAGTTTCCAATAAAGCATGCATAGAAAACTTGTATAGGTATGTGGAAGATATTTTTTTCCTTAGTAATATCGTTATATCAATGTGGTGTTAACGCCTTTTCCAGAATTCTATCTAAGGATGGAAAGTTGCCTGGCAGTGTACTGTGGTGGGGCTGGTGTAAGGGTGACTTGCTTTTTCCATCTTCCTGTTCAGCAGTCGCTAGAGGACAGCTATGAGGAACAATCCTTTCCCCTGTTGCAATAAAATCCACCTTTACATATATCTATCGCTGCTTTCCCCATGTTGAGCCTTCATGATGATGTCAAGAATTCATTCACAGCCCGTAGATTTTAGAACTTTCCAGCTTATTGAGTAACAAAATGTGATTCCTGCTAATTGTGTTGACTGAATACTTAAAGCCTTTGGAAGAGAAGAGTTCTTTTTTAAAGCATAGCATCTACTTGTGTACTATTTTATGGCAGGCAAAGGTCATCTGGGGCAAGCAGCCAGAACAGTGAATTGCCTCATTGCAAGGCATAAGAAAATGAGACTGAAAGAGATGGGAAAGATTTAAACAAATTGCTCATCGTTACGAATTTTTAAAGTCAAGAAATTGGTGCTGTATAAGTTTTTTAAATTGGAGATAACCATGCTTGCCCAATAAATTGACTTAGGAACAGAAGAAATCAAAATAATGGTTTGGTGCTTAAAGTCTGGATTTTCAGCAAGGTTTTGCACAGCTTCACCAATGGAGTTCGGTGTTCTGAACCCCAAGCTCATTGGAGAGTTATAAAACTGCTACTTTTCTTTTCAGCTACTTAGCATCCTTTAGAGCAGTGCTACTCAAAGTGGTGGTCCACGGACTGGTGCCAGTCCGTGAGCCATTGGCTGCCGGTCTGCGCGCACATTGGGGGAAAAAAATTGCTGGTCTCCCACATAAGAGAGCTTGAGAAGGAATGCCTTAGAGAGTTAATGTATTTTATGAGCATTCAGAGCAGACCTCCCCACCCCCCATGTAGGAAGGGGTGCCATCATCTACATTATAGCTATCGTTATTCCAAACAAGGAAGTCTAGATGGGATATCACTTTCATAACTGGTTCTTAGTTATTTGTAGGGGTTCATATAGTTTACAGTGCTCCTTTGTTGGCAGGGAAGCAAGGGATCATAGCTCTGTTTCTAGTCATACTCACACTAGTGTATATATCAGGAGTAAATTTACTGAAGTCAGTGGAGTTATACTAGCATATATCCATGGAACAGAGTTGGGATGCAGCCCTGAGACCAGAAGTTCAACTTGGTTCTCCTGCATCGGAGTATGGGGGACAACCAGTCAGCTGTTGGGCTAGGTCTTAACAGCACATTCTTCTAGGACAAAAGTGCTATCTGTCTCCCTTACTACTGCAAAACACCAGTGGATCAAGAAACACTTCGTTCTGCTCAAACTTTCTATCCATGAAACTTTTCTACTGGGGGGAAAAGTAATTTTAACAATTTAATATACTACATAATATGTTTTATAAGCTAGTGTGGATGATCCTAAGTATTTTGGTCTTTTTCATAACACAATGAACCTAATATTGGTAAAAATACAGATCTTAGATGCCACCATAAGGAGAAGCTGGATTTAATAAACAGTTATGAATGTTGGCAGCTGCCTATCAGATTGTATAACATCGACTGTAGCACACAGAGAAAGTGTCAACTTACATTTTATCTCCGAAGTATTTTCAAAGCATTTATTTTGCTTTCTTTTGAGTCCTTAACCTAATTTAAGTTATATAATTGCCTGAATATTTTTCCACAGAGCTAATTGGCTAGTTGCCAGCATGGAAACCATTGTTTGACTTGATGATGATCAGAAATTAACATGACATTTGCGTGGTGGTAATGGAATATTTGTAATGTAATTCATGACTGTAAGAAAGAGACCATCGTCCCCCACCTATGATCTGCAGGAGGGGCTCAGAGGATGATGAAGTGCTCCCAGCAGGCACCTCACAGCAGTGGCCAGCCAATCTCTATGTCAAATTTAGTTTTAAATTCTTCAGACAAAGCTGTAATGCTTACCAATTAATTACTACAAATGTCAATTAAAAAATCTACCAAATAATATGGTAAGATTAAATTTCAATTAAAAAATTACATTTAACAAAGAAGATATAACATTATTTTAATGAATTCTGCTGAAGGTGACAGTTTATCTAGATATATTTATACTGTGTAGGTGGATCTAAATTCATTGGATAATGTTAACTGTGTTACTTCATATACAAATTAGTTGTGAAAATTATTTCTACTGTGGCTATGTCCTGGAGGAGATGGGGCATCAAGGGGCATTTCTCATCCTGAGAAGAAAGGAGAATTTTGAGCCTTTTAAGTATAGAAATCTTTTCACGCTTAAAATGAAAGATCTATCATAACCCTTCTTATTAGCTGAATTCATGTTATATCTCAGTGCTTTATATTTATAAAACTGAATATAGATTTTTGATAGTGGATTAGAACGAGACCTAACTTTGTTGTGACTGTATTTATTTTCTTACAACAGTTTCCCAGTTAAATCTGCTTTGATGTAGCTGTTTTCCATTCTTCCTATGAGCCTGCTAATGGAATTATTTCATGCACATATCTGCCTGTGAAGGTAGTAGATTGTAAATGGTGAGCAGAGTTTTAGTTGTATGGCCCCTAGCAAAGACCCCAGTTCAGCAAGCTACTTAAGCATGTGCTTACATTTTAAACACCTGAATAATTCCATAAATCAGTGGGATTACAAATGTTTAAAGGTAGGCGTATGCCAAAGTACTTTGCTGAATCGTGGCCAAAATGGAACTGGCAAAGTAAAACTCATGTACCATTATAAACTTTTGTATTTACTCATAGTATATATGACAAACTTTTAATAAAACAATAACGTATTAGAACAAGAATGTTGTTTGAGTTTTCTGTGTTAATTTCATAACTGAAATTGTATATTGGAAGTAACAGGATGTTTTATTCAACATAGAAAATCTGTTGTCTGCTAAAGGATATAATACATAAAGTTCTTGGAATCTTGAGTTAAAATGCAAAGGTATTGAAAGCCTCGGCAGTCTGGAGGGTTCAGAGAGGCCTGCATTCTGATTGGTGGAAAGTAATCCCCACCCAGGCATAGAAGTCATGGCAGTATGGAGGCACACAATTGAGAGTTAATATTTATTCTCTGACCTCCTAATGCTAAATATCAGGGAGTAGCTTAGGACACTAGAGAAAGTATATTTAACATTTCTAACCCTAGTCTGATTTATTTCCATCAGTTTTTATTATTTCCTTTTGGCACTGTCATATCTGAAATGGCATATAGGGAACAGGACATAATAAAGACAAGTATTTTGAATTGTTTCAAACCAGAGCTGGAAAAATCCACCCTCCAGTAGCAAATTAAATGCTTTCTCTTGCTAGTGTGGGGGCCTGAGGCACCAATTTCAGCAGCATTTAAGTATCTTTTTTAAAAAAATGAAATTCTAGCCCCCCCCTCCCTCCCAT